GAAGGAAGCAGTCTGTTGAGGATTTTAAGAAGCTAAAAGAAAAAGTTAAATTCAGACTAAATTACTTTGTGAGCTAACTCTTATTACACATTTTGCCTATTCATACAGACTTCAATCATTTAACTAAAACCTAGATGTGAGATAAAAAGGAAATGAGGCAGTTCAAATAAAACTTCCTATTACAAATTATTTGCTATTTTTCATTCAAATGAAATGTTTTACCCTTAAATAAATAGCAGATTTTATTCATTTAAAAGGTCAAATTAGGCCTAAGAATAAAATCACCTCATTAACTGATATAAATAACATCCACACAAATGCCTCATACTTCAAAAGAGAATGAAAAAACTTTTTATGCTCCAGTACAAACCAATCAATAAAGCATATGAAGTGTAAAAGAAAGCAAGGTATAAGGAAAGTGTGTACAGTATGCTACTATTTATAAAAAGGGGTAGGGTACATACATATTTGCTTATACAGGTATGTGGCCTTTAACATCCCTTTGGACAATGTCAAACCACATATACAGTCTGTGATCCCATAAAGTTTGTGTGTATGGTTTTATTTTAAAAAAAAAAATGAAAAGCAGCTCTCATTTTATTATTTTCCTCTAATGGTTTTAAAGACTCCAACCCCAGACTCTTATGGCACTGGACCACAGGTGGAATACAGGCAGGTGAGGCAGAGGCTATGGCTCTGGGTACCAGCCCTCAGGCTTTCTCCAATGGGGGCTGCAGGGCCCTGGCAGCTCCTGCTGTTCACTCAGGTAGAACAGTGGGCTGGGCTGGGTACTCTTCACTACCTCTTTACTCAATTCTTCTTGCTCTACTCCAGCCACCCTCTCAGTCGCTAGCAGAAGGCACCCATTCCTCCAGCTTCCACCAGCAGCTCCAGTGACAAAAGTAGTGAGGAAAACAACAGGAACTGGACTCCCATGAGGTTTTAAGATAATGCTTGTGTAACATCCAAATCACATAACGTCCTGTATCACAGAACGTATAGTGGACATTAAGTGACACATACCTATATATGGATAGACCACCTCTGAAAGGACTAATAAGAAATTGGTAACAATGGGGGTGGGGCAGGGCACACATTTTTTGCAGTTACATTTTGTTTTTTGACTTATGGACCATCTAAATAAATTACTTATTCAAAAAGCAAGATTAGAAATACTAAAAAAGCACACTCCTCCTTTCTTCCATTACTTTACAAAGTGTGTCTCTTTCCTTTGATTGCTTCCTTATGACACATATTCTATCCTCCAAAATTCCTTGACAGCAGAAATAATTCATCTTTGGATTCCTTGCAGCTCTTGGCTCACGACATTAAAGTAATAACAATAAGTAATTTAAAAAACAGGTAACATGTGTTGAGCGCTTGTAAAATGGCTGGCATTTACTTTGTATTAACTTATTTAAACAGTGTACATGTATTAGTTTATTTAATCCTCACAGTTACCTAAGACTGGTACTGTACATTTCTCACCACAGAAATGGAGGTATTGAAAAGTTAAGGAACTGCCCAAGGTCACACCACTAGGAGGTTAAAATAAAGATTAAAAATGAACAGCTATCATTAGTTAAGTCCCTAAGGAGGTACTTTGTAATTATCTTACAACTCTGAAGAAGGTGGTATTCTAATTTTACAGATGAAACCAAGGCTGAGAAAGGTTAAGAAACTTCCCTTAGGTCACAAAAAAATTCCTTGAGGGCTGGCACTTGACAAAGCAGCAAACCCAGGTCTGTATTCCAAATCCAATGCTCTTTCCAGTAACTACATTCTCTGCCACTATAAGTGCTAAATAAATACTTGAATTACCACAAACTGTTGTCTCAATATTGCAGCAGAGACAAGTTCACAAACAGGTAAGAAAAAAATCCCTGCCATTTTTCCATTCCCTAATATTTACTACATGCTTAAATTCAGATTTGAACTGTGCCGGTTCAATAAAGAAACCATTATTGAAAGTGGCACTCTCCATCATCAAGAAAAATATGTTTGCAGAACTATGTCACAGGCTATAAACAAGTTTATATAACTATGTTGTTGTTGTTCTGTGCCATTGAGTCAGCAACGACTCACAGCAACCCCCTTCTTGGGTTTCTGAGGAGGTATTACTATGGAAGTAGACTGCCCAACTTCCTTCTGAGGAGTGGCTGGTGGGTTTGAACTGCCAGCCTCCTGATTAGCAGTCACATGCCTTAGGCACTACGTTACCAGAGCTCTGTTATATACCTATACGATATCTAATAGTTACATGGGATAAATGATATAAATTTTAGTGATATCTTGTAAGCATTACTAAAATATCTTCTACTATGAGAAAAAGAGTATGAATTTTAAATGAGGTGGAGTGGGGGATACATACTTGGTTTTACTATAACCATATTGCACCAAAACAAACAAAACCAAATGTCTTAGAATGGGAGGTAAAACAAAGCTGTTTCTCTATGAAGAAACCAAAATTTCTATTAATGACATCTACTTAAGAAAATGAGTTTCTGAAAGCTGAAAAAGAAAGGTACTGTTTTATGGATCCAGTTTCTAAGTTTCTTTGGGTTTATTCAAAATGGGCAACACTAGGGTTTTAAATTCCAAAAGAACTTTTAACAGGCAATTTCTGCCAAAAGGATTCATTGTCTTTCTCAATGTGTGTGTCTGTCAAAGAAAAGGAAAGAACGATTCAAACAGATTCAATTGTAATTTTTACTAATCCATGGGAGGAAGAAGTATTTTAGTACCATATTCTAAGTGAATATTCAAATATTAAACATAAAACTTTGAAAAGTTTCATCTAGAATTGCTAAGAATCAAACATTATGAATCTACAAATAAAAGCTGGTATCTTTTGAACAAAATTGAGAAAAGAACATCAGAATACAAGTGTTTTTAGTCTCACAAGGGTAGTCATAGGCATATATTCTTTATAAAGGGAAAAGAAAATCTACTAACTGATGTTGGCTCGCAGAAAATCTGTAAGGAAGAACTTTTCATCTACAAGAATCTACCAAAATATGATAGTAATTTCCCAGTGTTGGGAAATAAAATTGTTTCTCCAATCCTTACAAATACCCTTTATGGAACCTTTTAATTTTCTCAGCAGTAACAAATTGCCAGTGTGGTTTTTAAAGATTAGCAATACAGTAAAGTAGGTTCTGAAAGGTGACTTGCATACAGAAATACGAAGTTTTTCTACTACCAACCGATATTTATTCCTAACCAGACTTGTGTGTATCAATGACATTTCTATCATACTGTGACAGAACCCTTTTATGTTATCCGTCACAATTCTCATACCATAAGAAATAAGTATTTTTTTAAAAAATACCTCTTTCATCTTTTAAACTCACCACCTAAAATAATCGTCTTTGACTTTACTTTAAAATCAAGAAGATGAGCACTCAGTGTAAAAGATTTCAATAGTCGGCCAACAGAAGTATCTCATACCAAACCTTTACAAGGTAGAGCTGAAGCATGATGCAAGCTGAGACTAGAATAAAATTCTAACTTCCTGGGAAGATACGAAGAAGTTAAGTAGATCATACTCCAGATTTTTAAAAAATTCTTTTAATCTTTGCTGTGTCAATGATTTTTCTGCTGCTCCTTCTTCCCAAACGGTGAAGTTTGGGAAAATAAAGTGTGGCTTAAACTGTCAATCTCAGACTGTGATCACCTACTGCATGTAAGACAAATAATGGATTCTTTTAAGGCCTGTTTTAGAATCAGTATTCATCTCTTAAATTTAGACAGAAATATGTAGGAAACACGGTAGGGGGTGGGGCGGAAAGCTGAGGGGAGATTCAGGTGACCCACACTCGGTTGGCAAAAAAAAAAAAAAAAAAAGATACAAAACAAAATGCGCCGGGTAAAATACTTCTAACGTAGTGTTGCAGAAAGATAGACCTTCAGTAATTATTACCCTATTGAAAAGGGTTAAAACCGAAACTGTTTTCAAACACCAGCTTCCCTTTTACAAGATCCCAACAGTTTCTTTTCTTTTTAAAGTTATTACAAAAATGTTTTTCTTAGTGCCCCCTCCCTCCCCAAAAGAATGCATTTCCATGACTACGGACTTTTTTTAAAAAAAGGAAGGGTTAAGGGAAAGAGAAATTACCTAAAAAAAACCCAAAAAACCATGAGCTCTCATCATCCCAACTAAGCAGAAAAGAACAGAAAACAGTGTTCCCCTAGTAGGGTGGGAGCGGAGAAAAGAGGGTATGAAAAAAATACAGTACGAAAGGAAACCTTTGGTTTCGAACTTTATTGCACAAAGAGAGTGGAGAGAAGAGTAGGTCAGACGTTGCAGCTCTTCCCCTCGCGGAGCAGGCATGGTTGACACGGAGGCCACCGGGAAGGCAGCAGGCACCTTCACCTCCCCTGCCCTCAACTGTCGCCTTCTTCCTCCTCCACCCCCCATGGGCACCCCGGCGGCAGCTGCCTAGGCAGACGGCCGGCCGGCCCAAATGGGCTGGGGTCGAAGCAAACGGCGGGGGCCAGGCGGGTGAAAGAGC